TCATCGGGACGAACCAAGGAAACGCAAAGACAACGCCGAGTCGTGATGAGCACGCCGTAGCCACAAATCCGCCGACCAGGTAGACGCAAGGGAACTCGTTGGACTCGTCGAATAATGCGACTTTCATACTGGGCATGGCGGCCGACGCCGGGGAACGAGGAGAGGAGCGCCGGGGCGCCTAGTAGGCCGTGGCGGTCGACCCCTCGCTGGTGGCGACGGCCACGAGAGCCTCGAGACGCCGGAGCGACTCGGCATTCGCAGGCCGGTCCGGCTGTTGCTGCGCCGGCGGCTCGCGGCCGGGGAAGCCGTTGAACCCCGTCAGGTTGGGGTGGACCATGCGGTCGACGTGCGCAGCCCGGCGTCCTGCGGCGGCTGCGGCGGCCGTGATACCAGCCATGCCGCTTCGGCGCTGAGACAGACGGCGCCGACATGGTTTGCTGGTGCAGGGAGCGGGCCGAGGCGCCGGCGGGCGGGCCCGCGTGCGATGGCGCCGTTGGTCCTCGAAACGGACCGTCGGGTTCTGGCGCACGCGCTCGGCCTGCGCCTGCACCGCCTTGTTCACCTCCGAGGCCCAGGCGCCGGCGCTGTCGCGGGGCGGCGTCTTGCGGCCTATGTCGAGGCGCGTGAGGCCGCGCTGCAGGCTCGCGTCGTACATGTTGAGGTTGCGCCGCTCGTCGGGCTGCATCGGCTCGGCGGCTGGTACACGGGGCGCCGGGCGGGCGCGTCCGGGTCCACGGCCATGGGCGAGGCGTTGCGGCGCGGGACGGGGTCGAACGACTCGATGCCGGGCAGGCGCAACGACGACTGGGCGCTGGGCGGGTTCGCGATGGGCGGCGGGGGTTCGGCCGCACCGCCTGGCTCCCGACGGCGCTCAGCTGGTGGTGAGGAGCGTGGGCGGTGTGGATGGTGCGGCTGTCCGGGTGCCAGGTGCGCCTCCGCCACGCGTCGTCGGCGGTGCTCGCGTTGGAGTCGCGGCGGCCCGACCAGGCCGACGCCGACGACGCGGGCGACGTCATGCCGACGCTCCCGCCACCCGCCGACGGCAGCGCGGCGGGGTGGGAGCTGTTGAGGAGTGCCGGGCCAAAAGGCGAGCGGCCGGGGCCCGAGAGGTGGGCCGGCTGGAAGGGGTTCGCGCTCGAGGGCACGCTGAGGCGGCGCCCCGGGGTGCGGCTGCCGGCCGAGTACAGGCTCTGGGACCTCGAGTGCGACGAGGTGGGCGACGCCATGCCCGAGGGCCAGCGCGGGCTGCTCTGGGCCGTCGAGAAGGTGGCCGAGGTGGGCGTGCTGTAGTCGGCGGGCGACGAGGCGCGGTAGGGGTAGGGCTGTCGACGCCGCTGCGGTACGCCTCGAGCGACAGGCGGGACCGAGGGTCGGCGGCCATGACGAGCGGCGTCGGGCGGCGGCGGGCGTCGGGGACCTGGGCGGCGTACGACGACGACGCCACGGAGCTGATGCTGGCGATGCTCGACGTCGACAGCGACTTGGAGTGGCCGCGCGCGGGGCCGCCGGCGCTGCCGCCCGTCGAGGCGCGGGCCCTGTTGCCGGCCTGCCGGACGCGGTCGGTGCGGATCTGGCGTTGGAACCTCGAGCCCGTGGCGGCGAGGGAGTCGATGGGGATGTCTTCGTTGACGTGGACCGTCTGGGCGTGCTGCCGCAGGTTGTCTAGCCTCGAGAAGCGCCGCGAGCAGTGGCACTGGAATGGCCGCTCGCCCGTGTGTTTCCTGGCAAGAGGTCAGCCTTGACGGAGCGGCGGCCGGGGCGCAGACAGACTCACCGAATGTGGCGGGCCAGGTGCTCGCTCCGGGTGAAGCTCAGGTTGCAAGGCGGGTAGTCGGTGCAGTAGAAACGCTGCGACTTCTTCTTGCTGGACCGGGAGCCGTCGGCATTGACGCTGTCGTCGTCGGAACCGGCGTCGTCGATGTCGGAGTCGTCCATGTCGACGTCCATGGGCGTCGACGACTTGGCCGAGTGCTGCGAGGCGTCACTCCGTAGCCGGTCGGCGGGCTCGGGCAGCTGGATGGCCTGGGGGAAGGGACTTGTGGGCAGCGGCTTCTGGCCGGCGAAGGAGGCCCTCGTCGGGGTGGCGGCGGCGTCGTGGGGGGCCATGGCGGCGAGGTGCTGGGCGTGAGGAGCCGTGCTCGGGCGGGAGGCGACGGCGGACGACGAGGCCGGGGCCGTCGGGTCTTCCTTGATGGTCTGGGCGATGAGGCTGTGGTTGACGGGTCGGAAGGTGGCGGCCATGTCTCCCGCTCACAGACGCGAGCGTCGCGGGGCGAGGCCGACGGGATGGGGAGCGACTGCCAGGGGCGAACCCTCAGCTGTCCGGGCAGACGGGCAGCGAAGCGTACGCCGTGTCGAGGGCGGTCGGGCTCGATGGACGGCTGCGTGTCGTGTCGGCCGGCATACGACTCGGGGTGTGCGGTGGCGAAGGGCCGTTTGCCGCGCTCTGCTCCTCAGCTGCTTGTCGTCGACGCTGGCGACGGGCGTCGGATGGAGATGGGATGGAAAATGACGGGGGAGCGATGACGGAGACGGTGACGGGGGGGGGGGGGG